CACTCGCTCAGGTATATGGGCCCAAAGGTATGGAGTTCTGTTCCTGGTAACGTGAAAAAAGCTTCCACGTTGTCCTCCTTCAAATATAACATCAGAAAAGTGGATCTTAGCATGCTATTAGATGACAATAACTGCTCTAACTGCTCTCTTTGTACTTCTTAATCTTTTATTTCTTATTTTTTATAAGATAATGGATACATTTGTACATATTGTATATAGTTCTCTCGAATTTCTCACTTGCTTATACTGTACATATTTTTTCTTAATTTTACTTAATTTATTAATTGATTTATTCTTTTTTAATTTATTTTAGTGTCCCTACTTAGTGGTTATACATCGCTATTACAGTTTTGACACTTTAATAAAGGTATCATCATCATCATCATCATCATCATCATCATCTTAAGGTGGCTGTTTCCTCACAAAGCTTATGTTGTAACCTTTTTCCCGTAACAAGTAACGCTTAGTCTTCTCTCTATTAATGTACATTTTGTTTTCAGTTGACCATTTCTCGATATTCTCCAAGTCTTTAGAAAGAGCCTGAGTTAAAGAAGTGATATTATTCCAGTTTGCACTCAAGGACGGGTGCTATCGTCAGCATATATATCAATGGTCGAGTTGTTCAAATGTAAAGTCATATCATTCACAAATAAGAGAAATAAAACTGGACCGAGGATTGATCCCTGCGGTACCCCCTGCCTGACAGGTTTTGGCTTAGATGTTATATGCCCTAGTTTCACAAACTGTCGTCGCTCTTCCAGATACCATCGAAACCAGGCCACGCTATCTGGGCTGGCACCGTACACTGGTAATTTCTTTAGTAGTAGATTGTGATTGATTACGTCGAACGCTTTAAGGAAATCAACAAATACTAGTCCCGTGACTTCATCATTATCCATTTTAAACAAAATTTCGTCCGTGATTCTGATAAGAGCCGTTTCAGTGGAATGGCCAGAACGGAAGGCTGATTGTAATTCATATAGCAAATTGTTCTCTTGAAGATATTTTAATAGCGAGTTTGCTACATGTTTTTCGATGATTTTAGATAGGATTGGCAGCACTGATATGGGGCGATAGTTATTTCTTTCACGATGCTGACCACCTTTGTGCAGTGGTGTAACTTGGCCGACTTGGCCTCTACTGGTATCTATTGCAAAGTCCCTCAAAGCGAATGCGTTCCAAGGCCGTTCGTCTTGGATACGCAACCGAAATGTATTGTCATGAACTCCTTAGTAAATAAATGTCATAGAGGGACTAGGCAAAGACGCATTTACGAAAAGGCACTCCACTGAAGAGCAAAAAGGCGGAAATGTAGATGGACTAGACTGGAATGAAAGGTAAGCGTTCACCTACACAGGCGGGCTTGGATGGCTTGCAGAATCCCTTTGCCTGCGGTGCCTAGCTGTATATCTGGCGGCTATCAGCTTTCCGCAGGCAAGAAAGTTCTCTCCTGAAATATACCGGTAAAAGGTATCATCCGAGTAGAATAGACAAGTTCCGTCAGTAAGTCATGGCTTTCCTTGAAGCTTTAAAAAGCGTCAAGAAACAAGTAATCATAGCTTAGTAAAATGATCGACCATAATGTTACTAGGATATGAACTGAATTTCCACACTGATTTGCTTGTTAAAGATTTTGTTCTTCAATAGACTTGATACAGTACTCTTCCCCGCAAATGAATTGTTTTCTCTTGCAAACAGAAACATGAAACAAGTTTTTCTACTATATGGAGCCGCGGTTTTAAGTTGTTGTAAACTTCTGTTATATCATTTTCGGCCCCTAATTTTTTCTCGTCGCTACACATCTTAATTTGTAGTCTATTTTAATTTATATATCGATATCAAGAAGGCAGGTAGAAAGTAAAAGATTCCCATTGCAGCGATGATCAGTTCATATGATCTAGTTGCCGTAGTGTCGCAAAAGTCAAATGATTGTGATTTAGATATTTTTTAAAGCTTTCCACAAAAATACAGCATAAATATAAGAGTACAAAACTTTCCCTATTACGCCCTATTGAGACGACGGTGTAAATTATGCCAGAAAAACACCGATTTTCAGGTAACTTTCTAGATTAAAACTTACCTTTGTGTTTCTTGCCAGACGTCAGGCCAATCGAATCAGATTTTACACACCTTTTTCCGGGAAAGAGTCTACAAAAACGACAGAAACGATGTATCACAACAGAGTCAATTTAACAGAATTCATGGAGTTTAATTGGCATTTCTTTTGTTTCCTTAATTTCTTCGAACTGTGGACGTTTTCCAAGAAATCGAATGAAAAATCTACCCGGAACGGAAACGGAAGTGACAATTC